GTACAACAATTTTGGAGAAATTAGTTCCAACCACAACTACATCCACTTCTACAACGACAAAGAAAAATGATATTGATTTTAACACTAGTCCAAGTACAACAACGTCGACGTCAAGTTTACGACCAACTTTAAGTACATCAACAACTATGTTAACAACGACAGTTGCAAACGAAGAGCCTACAAGTAAAGCGAACGTTCAAGCTACAAGTGATAAACCAAGTCGCATACCATCCGTTAAACCAGTGATACCTAATTGGAGACAAGGTTCAAATCAAAGACCTCCATTAATTATGAACTTTCCTCAACAAAAACCAAAAGTAGACGATTCTAACGAAGTTATCGTTAAAAATGCTTATCGACAGGATAACTCCGTAATTATTCAATGGGATTCAGATGTTGCTAATATACTTGGCTTCCGCGTTGTGTACCGATTGTTTGGAGATAAAAGCTTCAAACAGGGACCACCGTTGGAAGCCAGCGAAAGAGAATTTAAAATAAAAAACGTGCCGTCACAGGTAAATTTAAATAAACACTGTACTTCCTTGAAAACGCTTATTTATAGTACCAGGACTAATAAACATATTTTTGCTCTGTTTTAGGAATGTATCGTCGTTTGTGTTATTTCTCTGGAAGAAGTGCACGTAAGTCCTGAGACAGTCCCCTACTCACAGTGCAGAGAAGTACGCACCGTATCCGCTGCCGCCTCCAACATGGACAAAATCACAATAGCTGCAAGCGCAGCTATTTGCGGAACTATTGTTGTTGCGGTCCTTATCTTTGCGGCTGCATCGCGTCGTCGATCGCGGACCGTTCATCGACTGCACAACCAAGCGCCCGAGAAATTGCCCAACGCCTGCTGCGGCGGTCTTCCTGGAACACCGAGTCCCAACGGCCCGTTGTCTTCGCTAGCTACGATCGGCGGTTTCGGAAAGCAGCGTGAGTGGGATCAGGTGTCGGCTTATAGTGCACGTTCGATCCCCCGCGCACGTACCTACACAGAACCGGCTGCTCCGGAACCCCTACCTGGCCGACCCGGCCGCGCTCGATCCCTTGCAGACGGCCAGTCGCAACATAGTTATTCACAATCCGGACGTTATGGTCCACCGGCATACCCAGGCAGTTTGTTAGGATCGAGAGCCGGTAAGTGTCGCCTGTTGACCTTATCCACGGATCTATCAAGACATTTTCAATCTCTTCGTAAAAGCTACGTATGTACGATTGAGTCTATTTTATACTTTCCTTTTATTTCTAGATCTACGTCAGTCGCGACAGTCTTTGGGCGGAACATCGGAACGTGCGTCGAGATTGTCGCTAAGCGGCGCGGCAGGCGGCGCCACCGGCGGCACAGCCGGCTCGAGAAGGAGGCCGCGCTCGCGGTCGCGGCCGGCCAGTCGGTACAGCGTCGGCTCAATAGGACTAGGTTATTGTGACACGTCGGACAATTGGACAGATCACGATATGGATATTTACATGGCCCGAAACCCGACGGCGCGGGGCGGGTTGGTGCCATTATAGCGCAGCGGGGTGACCGGTGCCAAATGCAGAGCGGAGTCGCGGCTGACGGGCGGACGTTGCTCGCACTCACGAAAGGCCGCCTCAACTTACACCTCGTGGTGCACGCATGAGCATCGGACGCGCAACCGCCCCCGCCGCCGCTCACACCGCCGCAGAAGGGACAAACAAGATAAATGTATCGACCGGACATGGGAAAATTATGATACTAACAGTTGATAACTCCCATTTTTTAATAAGTTCTAATAACGTCGAGGGTTAGTTTAAAACAGACTCGTTCACGATTAACTCCATCTGACATGTAGATAACATAGTACTAGAGCTATGGTGGACTTGACTGAAACGCCTTTATACGAAGCTAGGTATATTTAATACATAAGAATATTTAAGAATTATTACTAAGCGAAACCCACTCGAACTTAAATAATAAAAGTTTACAAGTTGGGTTACAGAAAACGATATATAACATAATGTGATGTGTATTTTCATATCAGAAAGACATACTTTCTAAATGCAAAATGACATAATTATAGGAATATTAAGATTGTGAGAGTTTAACAATTTGTTAATGTATTATAGAAATAAAATTATATAATGTATGTTAAATAATCAATGTAAATATAAATAAATATTAATTTTAACAACAGATAAATAAATTCTTATAGCAATTGTTCTAAAGCACTTGTATACATACATACATACTATGTGAAGTAAATACTGCTAGTCACAATTGTTTTCAATTTATTAATCAGCACATATACTTATAATTTACCATTTAAGTGGAAAATGTACATAGAATATTAAAAATACTTTATTCAAGACTATATAATTGTTCTAGATTTTATGTATATTATTTAATACTTAAAAGAATAATTAATTCAACGATTAATTTTCATAACTATTGTAGGTGTAAATAGGTAGAATAATCACAATTTTCTAAAAAAAAAAAAAATAAGTAATTACCATTATTCAAACTTTTCATAAGCAATTCAAAAGCCCTATATACATAGATAATTATTAATTTCAAATAAATAGAAAATCCAAAGTTGTTAATTTTAAATAAACATACCTTTATTTCATAAACCTTTTTTTTCCTTTTTTTATAAACATACCTTTTACAAAGCGCGCTATTCGCTCTAAATTATTCCAACTAATAATGTCTAAAACTATGTATATCATAAATAAGTAATTAAATTTGAGTTAGGGAAATAAATATTAGAAGATAATTGTTTTAAATAGTAATAAAATGAATTTATGGGCTATCCCAATGGTGCTATTTCATTTATTGCAATTTTGCAAATTGTACAGAGAATTTATGTATTATAATAAAGATTTAAAAAGTAATATAATAAATAGAATATCAATTAACTATGGCTTTGCATTCAAATTCCCAATTCTTTTATTTATGATTAATATTTTAGTCTGTGTTATATTTTTTAATAGACAATCACTTCAACCAAAATTTAAAACAAAATGAATAAGAATCACATTTTAAACAACTAAATTATTTTTTATTTAAGACAAATACTTACCCTGGTAAAAGAATGCGATGTTCCCAACGATATTGAAGTTCTTGTACAAACTCATACCAAAAGTGTGCCAAGTACGGCAGACCTCCAGCATCTAATAGCCTGATTGCGGTCACCGAAAGTCTCCAAACCAAGCCATCTTCAGGACTTGTCTTTATGTAACTACACAGCTTTGACTCACTACCTTCACTCTATAAGTAAAACAATAATTTTAAGAAGGAATAAAAAAGGAAAAAACATAAGTCAGTTTATAATGTACTAGTTTAAAGTTATAACATTGGTGATAAATAATCCACAAATGGTGTAATTCACAAATACTTAAAAAAAAAAAATCATGCATGATATTAGGTTAGCCGAGTCAGCCAAACCCATTACAGGGAAAAACTATAAGAGAGTGATTTAATTATTTTTTAATAAAATGTTGACTCCTGCTAATGAAAGACAAAGGACAAATTCCCATAATCAAACAGAATGAAAGTAACATACTTGTTTAGATTCCAAATCAAGCCGGTCCGGATATGGAAAGTTACTTTTCTCAATTGCATCAGGAAAAACATAGTACAACAATGGCATCAGTAAATCATCAGTTATTGGTCCTTTGAATTCCGTTACACTTGTACTCTGACCAATAGCAGCTTTTACTAGTTTTGATATTGTAATAGGAGCTTCCGTAATCTTATGCAACGGGTTCACCAGCCCCAAACTCTTACTTAAACCTAATATATCCATTAATAAATTTCTTTCATCTAATAACAACATCATTTTATCTATAATTTCAGATAATTGACATTGAATATTATTTCTTAATTTTAATGTTATTGTCCATGTTGGAGCCATTATTGGGTCAATATCGGAAAATGTGGAAGAATCAACAATGGCACTCTCACGGAACTGCGGCCAAATTGCATTCAAACAAGCACTATGTATGGGATTCTTTTCTGCTCCAAAAGGCAGCTCTATAAGTTTTTTAACATCAAACCCATCAATTGATAGAAATTCATTCGAGTTATTTCTCTGCTTCCATGAAAATGTATCAGAATCCTTTAACTCATAGCAGAGCTTTGCAGATATTAGAACAGCATCTAGAGCTATAGGTGAGGCAATTTTAGATTTAAACAAACTCATAAGTCCACTAAGATGTGAACAATGATTAGAAATTCTCTTCAAATGTATTGTGTCAAAACTTGTCTTGAAATCATTATCTTCATAGACACCTAGGTATACATTTTGCCAGTGCTCTCTTATTTTTACAAATAAAGGCACACCACAATCAACATTGCCAAATGCTATGTTTACAGAGCTCATCACAAGTTTAATTATACTTCCATCTACCAATGGGCTACTAGAACATAGCATTAGATATCTTTTTAAGCCGAACCAACTGGAAACAGGAAAAGGACTGCCGTCGACATCCTCTATAAAGTTTGACGCTGATTCCCAAAGCCCTTTCTGTAATTCAGAAAGAAGCGACTGATCATCTGAATACTCGACGTCGTTGGTATTTTTTGCCGGTTCCAACATATGATAAGATAATGTGAACTGAATGCCACGAAACTTGATTTCTTCTGATTTTGTAATCCATTTCTTTGTGTATTCTGGAGAACGCTTAAACTTCGATTTCGACAAATGCCACTCATTGATAACCTCCTCCAATCTTGCTACAAACACTTCCCACTCTGACACTGTTGTGAAATCCTGGTGATAAATATCATATTCATCGATTTCTTCATTCATTTTATTAAGCTAAACTCGTCACATAAATAAAATCAAAGAACAGCTGTTAGATTATTTACAGATACAAAATTCTTTGTTGTTGTTCTTAAATGTCATTGTGGTAGTTTTTACGAGAAAACACTAAAGTTTTGTCCCTACAGCCAAAATGTTGGAAAAATACATTTGATAATTAGATAAAAAATACCACAATAAAATATTCCAATAAAACATGCAATAATTATTTAATATTTTAATTTAAAGGCTAAAGCTTTATTGCTTTATTTTACTTCATCTGTGATGCCAAGTCGTAGTCTCCATGGCAACGACTTTTATAAACACAAGACTGTTTTTCAAATAAATAAAAGGTTAATGAGAAATAATTTGTAAGTATAAATATGTTCAGAGGAGAAAATTCTCATTCTTTAAGTTATGAGCAGCAAGCGAAATTTATTCAAGACCGCATTACTAGCGTTGAAAAGAATTTTGGAGATTTATGTGTCGCGTTTGGAGATTACGCAAGGAAGACGGCTAGGTAAAAACTTTAAAATCCCATTGAAAAAATAAGGTATTGAAGTGAGAATTAAATAAAGAAGTCATTTTTTCACCAAATATATTATATTATAAAATATTTGAACTTCTTTCTATCCTTAAATTCAAAACCTGAACCTAGAATTATGCTGTAAAAAAATGCATATTCTTTATTTTTTCTTTAGAATTTTTAATTATACCAACTGTTGATGCCTCTTTGACAGAGTACGAGACATGGGAGACGAACTGGCCAAAGTAATAAAAGATTATGCTAACAATGAGATTGTTAACAAGTCTTTAAGTTCAGGTTTAGATAACTTATCTATTACTCTTACGGCGATCGAAGAATATCGGAATTGTGAAGTCCAACGTTTAGAAGCAAAGGTAATGTGAACAACGTATTTTTCTAGGGATCATGTTAAGATACACTTATAAATGAAATAAACAGTACTGTGAAAACTTTTATTAACTTAAATAATACCTAATATACCGTCTGAAACAAAACAACTGTATTTTACTTATATTAAAGTGTATGACCAAGACCCACTAAGTGTGGATGCACCAGCGGAGTAAGTAAGTAAAGTGTATGAACTAATGTAATTGTAGGTAATCGGTGAGCTATGTCAATATGAAGCAATCTGCAAACATGCTAGAGAGGAACTAAAGCACACAATGAACGTTAGAGAAAAGGAAATGGCGCGGAAGAAAGTCCTGGACAAAGCCAGGGAAAGACAACCATTTAATCGACAGCAAGTAGTAAGGATAAAGTAATATTTGTAGTTGGGACATGACACACATCGAAACTCAACAAGACATAAAACTAAGACCAAAACAAACTACACAAACAATATTATTAAGGTAGCATGCTAAATTTTATGCCTCAGAAATATAACCTAGGAACCAACCATACCGTGCCACAATCGTTTCTGTGGAATCCGCTTTAGATAGTCTATGCGTTTACGAAAATCTATTTCTTTTTTATTGAATAAGCTAGTGCTTGACCATGCTCCCATCTGTGATAATCTTGTACAAAGATGGTACTAATAGAAGGTTTTTTTTAATACAGACGTACGCAGAATCGGAACTAATAAAAGCGTCGGCTGAAATGTCTCGTACAGCAAAAGGTTTGAGTGAGCAGACGGAATTCTTCGAACGACGTAAACTTCAGCAACTTAAATCTCTTCTATCCAACTTCGTTATGATAGAAATGACTTTCCACACGAAAGCTGTAGAGCTATTAACAGTGGCTTATCAACAGATTGCTGATGTTAACGACATAGCTGATTTAGAGGTATTTAGGTCAATTATACATCTCTTTGGTTATCTGAGTAATTACTAATTATAGCACGAATTGAAATAATATTTTTGATTAAAAATATGATTCCAAAATAAGTAGATTATATCAAAGAGTTTTCTTTTTTTTTAATCATTTAGTTTATGGATGGGATGATTGCGAAGGGACTCATCCTTTGTCATGATTAACGTAGGTAAAACAACTTTTAGCGTATATTGTCTTGTCTCACTTTGACTGAAGAAAAGCATTCTTAAATATAGTCTTTAAGTACCTAACCAATTTATATTGTATAATTTTTCTCAAGCTATTGGACACAGGCCTTACAACTGAAGAACCAACGGTAAAAGTTATTTTATAAAATAAACAGAAAAGATAAGTGAATAATTGAGGCACTTAGGCACTTACAATGCGTGCACCATAACAGAGGCTACGCCACGCTTTGTATTCGGTTAATGTTATAAAGCAATCTCGTTAAAATATCGTGTTCCTTAAATATCTTCAAAAGTAGATTCTGTACATTATCTATAGTCGAATTCAATTAAAATAATAATATAATAACAAACCTATCTAAACAATTTTATCTATATAAACACAGATGTTTAAAAACAGACGTTTATATCATCGTTATCCAAAGCATAAAATCGTCAGCCAGTAGCATCTGCGAATATAATTTCTTATTCCTATTGAATTCCACTATAACCATGCTGTTGTTAATTTTTTTTTTGCTTGAAGTTTGGTACCACCATTGAGAGCTTTCGTTTACTTTTGCCTTACATCTTGCATACGTGATAAAATTGCATGATACTTAATGCTGCATTTCTTTTAGTTCATAATTTTGTTGACATTACTATTCAAATGCATTTATTATAGCACAAGCATGTTTTCATAGAATTTCAAGAGAAAACTAAGATCTCCCGAAAAACAAGTGAGTACCGGAATATCAGCGAGATCTTTATCACTGGCAACACTGATGTACCCACAATCACCGGTGAAAGACGACGGTGACACGGCGGTAAATATAAAAAAAATATCACCGAATTTACATACACCATAGACACATTTCTTATTTCGCGCCTTTTCTTAGTGTTGTGTAAACCTCATTTATAGGTAAGATAAGAAGTATAATTTGTGATCCATTTGAAATAATAAATGAAATATTTCAGAGCTTGGGGAAACTAAGTTCGCCAGATAAGGGCGCCGCAGTTGGAAAGCAACGATCCGGGTCCCTTGCTGCTTTGATGAATCAGTCTTCATCAAAAGACGAAGAATCGACGGTATTGACTATTGGTTATTTTTTTCTGATAATATTTTTATAAATTATGACATTATAAATGGTATCTTTGTCCAAGTCCACCCCATTGAACACCATAAATATCATTCCAATGCTGTCTGATATATTATATAATTTTCAGGACTCGGAATCAGATGAAGAGGAATCATCGGAAGAAACTGAATCGCGTTAGCTAATTGTCGAACAACAATTTCTTCTATTATATTGAAATTTTGTAACGTAAGAATTAATTGTATATTAAATAAAAGTTTTACGGTCTACATTGTTTACTATTCTTGCAAACAACAAACAAACATCCCAACGTACAGAAAAAGGGTATCTCCCCTTACTAAACATCTTTTCCCCCGCCGAGTCCATTTCCCCTTCCCCATTTTATCCTTCTTATGATGGATGGGAAAGGGGAAAGGACTGAAATTTGTTCTCCAGCATCCACACTTATTAAACTAAACGAATTACTTCCACTTTACGCCTGTCTTCAGTCTGGTGATCGACATCCAAATTACCATTAATCGTATTACAAGCACATTTATGCTAAAAACGTGATATATTTCGTTACTGATGAAAATCATCGTCTAAAAGGACATTTGGACATAGTCTGATTTATGTAAGTCACGAATGTTGAGTCGCGAAGACATTGGCGTATACAGGCTCTTAGACTAAACATCTTTGCATGTTGTATATCAGTTTCGATTCATATTTATTGCCATGCCCAACGTTCCCCTTAAATTGTGCCAGCTTGTAACAGGGACTAATCAAAATCAATACTCACCCTTCCGTATCACAACCCAAAAATAACCTACAAAGAAAAGTTTCACATTTCCTATGGAACAAACTTCTTTGCGTATATTGGAAATGTACGTTTTTTTTAATTCGGCGCTTGCGAACTCGCGTGCTACCAATAATCATAAAAAACAATCAATTTTTTTTGAATTAACTTTAATTATAAATCAATTCGTGTTACAAAGTCTACTGATATATTCCATAATTCTTAAATATATTTGCACTATTATCTAAATTACTATGCAGAAATTAATAGTGCAAATCTATATGTTTTTAATACATACATACGCATATTAATATAATATCTCTAATGAGAAAAAATACAACAGCAGTTTTGTGCATGAAAAGTAATTGTTTATGGAGGTTACAATAAAAAATAAATTCTTATATTGATAACCACTAAGTTAATGTTTTTGAGTTTAACATAGCTTTTTTCATGATTTTTTTATTTTAATATCCGAACCAGTAATTATTATTTCTGACAGCTTTTACCCCTAAATAAAATACTCACAAATCTTTGCACAAGGTGCTTTGTATGAGAGAATCCAAAAATAATATTTAGTTGCATAAGTAAATGAGAAAAAATAATTAAAAGAATTAGGTATAAAAGAATAGGTATAAGTGCACTGATCAATATAACAAAAAAAATTGGAACAGTAAATTTTTTCAAATCAATAAATTTTTAAGTTTAATTTTTATTGGCAAGGTGACAACTATGTGTTTAAATATACTACAATCTATAAAACTGTTACCTATTCTTTGTTTTTTTTTGTGGCAAATCTAGTAGTTCTGCCACATAGCATTACTCTGTATTACATATGAATTATTTTTAAACTAGTTCAATAGCATTACAAAAGATTGTGTGTTTTCATTTTTATCTATATGATTTAAAATCCAGGCACAGGGTATCTTTGGGTGTAACATATAACTATACTAGATGTATGTGTTACCGTACTACTTCTCATTTTCAACTCCGGCTTGAGTCATAAGATCAGTGATATTTTTCTCTAATTCATCAACTCTAGTGCCCATTTCATCTATTCTGTTTATTATTTGATCTGACATGCTTTGGAACTTATCCTGCATTGTTTGCAGCAGAGTCTGGACCTGAAAATTAAATAATTTTTGTAAATGTTTATAAAATTTAAACTAAGGTGGATACATTTTAGTTTGTGATATAAACATATCAAGACAAAAACCTTAAAAAACTACTTACATACTGCGTAACCTCCTGCATGTTTTTAGGATCGTTTGCTGGTGTGGTATAAGTGTTTTCTACATCTGAAGGAATTGAGTCTGGATTGTTTTCTGCCATATTTAAATTTTACTTATTCCAAATGTTCGATGTTAAATCAAATTGCAAATTAAGTTATTTATGGTTATCACCAAGTAATATTAAGTACGGTACAATTATTCTTTTATTAATTTATCGGCTGTCTGCACAATTTACTGTTGATGATTCCCAAAAACTTTTTACCACTTTAACAACATAAAACGTTCGTATTCGTACAAAGTCGACCGACACCGAGTATTTCTCAAATGTCCTATTTGAAATGGTAAATCACTAAAGTTACCGAGCAACAACGCAAACGCAATGAATAGAAAAGCCAATACAAATTACAAAACCAATTCAAGTTCGACTGGTTGACATTTGACAACTAGACAGCTTGACAGATTGCTGTTCTGAAACACACATTTTATGTCTACTTAGTTTGATTTATTATGACGATAATTGTCACTTATCACTAGAGCAGTAATAGTATTTAAATGTTAAACAAATTAAACTGAACAAGATTTTACATCCAATAATTTTGTACGGATTTATTATCAAAATGAGTATGAATCAAGAAATTTCCGCTATAAATGAAATGACTAAAAATTAAATATTTGTCTACGTCCCTGGCACTTTGACATCTCTTTGACATTAGAAATGACAGCTACGTGACAGATTAGATTCATAGACAAAGTAAAAGGCATCGCCAAAAGAATACATAAATAAAATTTATACATAACGAAAAATGGCTGCGAGCCGTCGGAAGCAAGACGACAGAAATTTGGAAATTTTGCGTGAACTTATATCTCTAAATGGAAACAAATATTGCTTAGATTGTAATCAAAGAGGACCCACCTACGTTAACTCTACAATTGGTTCGTTTGTCTGTTCAAAATGTTCGGGAATGTTGTAAGTATAACTTTTGCGTTATATGATCAAATGAGAACAACAAACAGTAAGTTTGTATTGTATTATAAATTTCAGGCGTGGTCTTACACCTCCTCATCGCGTGAAGTCGATCTCAATGGCCACGTTTACACCGGAAGAGATAGAATTTATAAAAGCAAGAGGAAACGATTACTGTAGACGCGTGTGGTTAGGTTTATACGATGGAGAAAGTGTTAACTTTAACGACGAACAAAGCGTTAAAGATTTTATGTCTGATAAATATGAAAAGAAGCGTTACTACCTCGACTCCCCACTTAATAATCCCCCTGTTACCAATGGTAGTTCGTCATTAAAAAATAAAACTAAAGTGAAGTCGATCGGCGGAGCATCCGTGACAGCACCATTGATATCAATATCTCCGCAAACTTCAAAAAATAGTAATAATAATGTAATGGTGAGCATGGCTAAAGTAGTTAATACACCAGCTAGTGACACCAGTCAAAAATTGGCAAGACCTGTTAACAATTTCTCGCAGCCAATACCATCTGTTATAACCGCTCCTATCTCCACATCGTCGGTCTCAGCACCAGTCACTGAGTGAGTAATAATAATCTTAGTTTTTAATTTGTGATAATTATATATTAAACAAATATTTCATTGTTTCAGTTTTCCTGTTGACTTCACTACAGCAAATATTTATAACAGTTCTCAATTTAATAATAATGTGAATAATAATTTTTTCAACAATCCGTCCACAACTATAACAAATTTTAATGCTTTTAGTTCTAACACTACGAGTACCGCTAATACAAGTAAGTAATACATTGATAATATACCATTTTTGTAAATGAAATATTAAATTCAAACTGAGGCTCAGTATTTCCTTAAACTCATTATTTTTTCATTACAAAAACGTGTAATATAAATAAGGCAGAGTCCAAGGTACCGATATTTTTCTCACTTCTTTAACCCAAGTTTTTCACATGTAGAGTTAGTCAATCTGGACTGGACATGGGCTCTTGCATAACCGTATGCTCTCTCTTATATTTGTCTCACTTATCCAGGTTGTCTGTATGTAGAGTAAATCCATGGTTAAAAATCTCGATGTGGTAATTTTCAGATGACAGGTACGCTGCTCTAGCGGACTTAGACTTAGCTTTAAGACAGCAGAATATGAAAAATATGGGTAAGTATTGCTATTTTCAAATTAAAAAACAAATATTACTGAAATATTTAATTTCAATCTTTATATTTTCAGAAGAAAGTAATAATATGAATAATAAAAATCCATTCCAAAGCTCAACTACCAATGATTTGTTCTCTAATAAAAACCCATTTTTCAACGGCGGATGGTCTTCTACACCCCCTGTACCAGTTAATCCATTCATGGTAAGTAAATTAAAAATGCTATTATTTTTGCATGTCAAACGGTTTAAAGAAAACACTTTTAGGTAAAATTGGCAGACATCTTTAGGATAGCTTAAAAAAAGACGTAGCAAGGGTTTTTTTAAGTAAAGGAGAATGCAAACATAATAACACTAACTCATCATAAAATAATTGGGATGTAAGCGACAGTTAAAATCAAGTGTACATCTCTTATATAGTCACACAATTTTATTGATATCACATTAACATGAATCATCTAGTATCAAAATATCGTACGTTAAAATTACGTAATGTGTAAGTCACTGAGAATGACTAATGTAAAATAATATTTCTAGTTTATATTAAATGATTAAATCTTCATGGTTCAGTTCAATGGGACTATAATCTGCTCCATATTTCTCATAAAACTGAAAATAATATAACGTTATTGTTTAAATCAATTCATTGCTAACTAAAAACATTTTTTAACAAAACATCATAAACAATAGTGCTCCATTTCTATACAAGTGTGTTAGATTGGTTAAACCACAATCTCACAGAATACTAACATAAACATATTTTGACATTTCTCATGAAATGAGTTACATTTGTTATGAGACCATTTAAAACTTACCATGCCATTACGAGCCTCACAGGACAATTCGGTGGCAATGAATCTATTAAGTGTCTTATTTTTCATCAGATGGGTAAATTTCAAACAGATAACCTTTATAACTGTAACACTTGGTTATAGATATAGAATAATTTATAACATAATCTAGTTATTGTATTTACTTATATAATCGTAGTTAATGATTTAGAATAGTTTATTAACCACAACTGTTTATATGGCAGTAATATAATATTCAGCGTGGGTCTAAAGTTTTGTTAGATGAATAATTAAATATTTCATTGTATCGTAACTAAAATAGAATACAGTACAACTATGTACTACACATTGATAACACAGGAAGTTAGTGAGGCTAGTGGATGATAACAGTTTTGTTATGCTTTTTGTTTCCTCTTGAATCATACATACAAAGAATTCTGTTATATAAATATTTTTATTTGATATGTTCTATATATTATGACTCAGATATTAAATTTTTGATGAGATAATATAAAATTTTTAAACAGACATTTCAAAATATTTATTAAAAGTTCAATATAAATTATTTAGGGAAAACCACCCAATTATGACCAATTTAGTTAAACATGGTTTTTGCCCAGATGTTACAAAAGAAGTCACAGCTACATTTTACATTATCAATTATCATTATATTGTTGTATGCATTGCTATTTTCAAATATCCATATTGTAAGCAATTATTGTTTGTTTTATTTTTTTAATACTAATAAATAGCTTTATGCACTTCTCCACACTAATTTTAACTGTGGCAAATATCATGTACATCCATTCCCACAATATTCTTCGGTTTAAAGATCTTTATTTAGTCATAAAAAACACAAAGTTTCGCTTACAATGAGTATAAATGTAAAATATAATATAACATAAGGGCTTGCGGGCTAATACAAAATATAGTAACCATACATCCTTAATGAATGAATTAAAGTTTTTATTCATTATAATAAAATGATATTATTTTATTTCAGCCTACAAGCAACCCGACATTTGGAAATTCCAAAAACCCATTTCTTTGATGAGTCATCGAGATTAAGTCATTTAAGAACAAATAAAATAGAAAGCACAAATCATGCTACAAATTTAATATTGTTAAAACTTTTTTTTTAAAAACAAAATATAGCAATTATTTATAAATATATTTACACTGCAATAGTATTAACATGCTTATTATGGTTGTAAAAAAAGTGCCTAAATCTGCCTTAAAAATTCGTAATATGAGATTTCTCGTATAGAGATTATTTAGAAAAGAGTTGTAGAATTATTTGAATGTATGAAGACTAAAGATACTGGTAGCTTTATTATTTATAGTATTTAATGAAAGCTCCGAGTCATTTGTAATTATAAAATTGGCAATCTTGGATGTTATTTAAAAATAAAAGAATGTCAAACGTTTAATAAAGACTAGATGTGGCACAAATTAGTTGAAATGAGCTCAATAGTATTACATTTCAAATGTATTATGGCTTAATTGTATTTGACCAATTGCAATCTTCATCAACTACGACATACCGCAGGTTTCTGACACCAAAATCTCTGTATAAAACATATCATCATCCCTGTCAAGATTTTACACAGAATAAACAATGTTTTAAATAGAAATTTTGGATTCAGAAACCCACAGTAAATATAATAAGAAAAATGTCAATTCAGAATAAATCTAACTTTAGTAAATTTCGATATGCCTTACCGTTGGGTACTGAGATCAAAATCTCTGTATAAAACACATTATCATCCCTGTCTTTATCTTTGACAAAACCGATATAACAGTTTATTTTAAATGAAGATTTTGGTCTCAGAAACCCACACTGCGTGTGATGAAGTTTATGTTTATCATGGGATGTAATACAAAAAATCTGTATACAAATTGTTGTTACCTTAAAACTTGAAGTTCTTAATATGTGCCTTATTTAAATATTGGAATGTGATTATTAAAATTTGATTGTCAGTTATAGTTGGACTGAACACTTTAGAATATTAATTCGTCGTACTCAAAGTCATTAGTGAGTCTAAACATGGAAGTGTCTATTAATAGACAGGATGTATTAATTTTCAAGATTTTACGAGGCTAGATTAATTGTTATAACAGTTTTAAATATGTATTTCATACAGAAATCTTGTAATTAAATATTTATTATTAGTTAATCTCATATTTCATATCTGCCTTACTAATAATAGAAAATGTTAAGCTTTTAATTTTATAAACACTTAATGAAATGACAAACACATGATCAAATATTCTCTTTCTTATAGTAAATTATAGTTAATTTGATATTTTATTGATGTTTTTTTCATGAAGTAAGCTCTCAAATTAATTTGTTTCATCTGTGATTGTAATCAATAATTTTATTTGCAATGAGCTAATTTGAACAATTTTTTTTTAATTATTAATCAATGCACTTGACTATTTATTTTAATTTTAATGTAATTAATTTTTAACTATTCGAGCACCAAGATCTGTTAATTTGTTTAAATTTGTAAAAATAAATCAATATTAATTTTTTTACTTGTAGTTTTATTTGTACTCTGTATCAAGACTTCACAAAATAGCCGACACTTTTTTTTTAATCATTTGTTTGGTATTGCAGTAATTGGACAAATAAAAGACAACTTCATACAATGTTTGTTTATATTATAATTTTAAATTTTACACATTTACATTTTTTCCAGTATAGACAGCACAGCATCTAAAAGGTTTTAAGCATGAAAAGAATGATATAATTCTACTTTTTACAGTACAGCAGTAAGAGGATAGTGAAAATGAAAATACTTTCCATTCACAATTAGAAACATGTCACAACACTTTGGTATGTCTCTTTACATTTTACTTTTCCTTACACTTGTATGTCACATTTTGTATTTACTACTCTTCTTCGAGTACATCGGTGTAGAGAAGTTATCAGGCGCAGTGTTGGGGCTGGGGAATGGAGTTTTCGATGCGTCGTGACTTAACGATGAGGTAGATATATTTTTGATAGCATCTGGCAAGTCTTCGGGCAAATTTGCACATTGTGAAGACGAAGCGGCCAATCGCTTCTCTGATATAGCTTTTAATATATTTTTACCGGCTTCTTTGGTCTAAAAAAAATAATGTTAAATTGCTATAGAACTAATTATATCCTAACCTTTTTTCTATCCTCCCCTTCTGGATTGAGAATGAAACTTGGATCATCTAAAGCATAAATATGTCTAAAGATTGCTTGTTTTTCATATTACCACACAAGTCAACACATTTGTGAAACAACATTCAGTATAATTTTGTTAGTAGGATACGGACTGTCCCAGATGACCTAAGAACACTAGAGTATATGTATTAAAGGTAGGCAATGCTAAGAAAATGTGTATCTTACGCTTTCGTGCTCGAGACATTTATAGGCATAGTGCGCGGCGTGGTCGAGCAGGGCGAAGCGCAGGTAGTACTGCGCGAGGTAACGCTGCGCAGGAGGCAGCTCTTTACTGCCTGCATTGCCGGGCTCTTGGCAAGCTGCTGTGTACGCTGCCGCCGCACTGTTCGGCATGTTTGACTTTTCGTATAATCTGAAAAAAATCCAAAATTACAAGTTATCGTTATATACGTGTTTGGAATCTTATAAACAAGCCAAAAGAAACTTAAGCTTTAAGAAAAATATAAGCTTACTTGGCCAACTTAAATAATGCCATGCCTTCAATATCACCCGTACTATGTGCTTTGTAATAACATTTCAGAGCATTAGGTATCTTCTCCATTTTCTCGTAAGCCTCTCCGAGTGATACCAACATTCTGGAATCGTCAGGCTTTAGTTGTGCAGCTCTTGAGTAGTAATATATACAGTAGCCGTTTAAACCTAAAATTTCATATGCCTGACCCAATCCATTCCATGCTCTGTAGTCATTTCTATTAACATCTGTAAAGCAGAGAAGATTCATCAAATCTAAAATTATTACCTTTTGTACTTTTGAAACTCGGATAAAAGAAAAATATTACAATCCTTTGGGTTTTTGCTTATGCAGGTACAACTATATTATGAAATATGTTACCTAATTTTAAATTTTATTACAGTTGGTCATCCACAATAAGCAGATAAATTAAATGTACTCAAATAATTGCTGTAATTAATAGGATATGACTAAAAAAACAAAGACTACTAAAGCTATTTAATTTCTAAATGTTTATATATAGAAAAAAGTAGCACATATTACATACCAATTGCTTGTCTATAGCACTGAATAGCAGCATTAGAGTTCTGCAATTCAATAAATTCATGGCCCATTAGTATCCAAGCTGAAAGATATTGTGGGTCCAGAGATAAAGCCCTTTGGAAATACACTACAGCCTTTTGATGTTCACTTCTCAGACTGTAATAGTTACCTACAAAAATATATTATTAAAACAGACAAATTAATAACCAAAACAATTGAGTAATATATTTCTTTGAATAAATTAAAAATGATTGTAACAATTCATCCGAATTAGTTATTATTAAGAAAATAAATTATTTAAATAACTCCTTTTTATAAAGAGGCAAATGAGAAGCTGGTTGCTTAAAATTACGAGATTCCACACCTATGGATATTTGACACTATCAAAACCACAGATCTTCTAAGTAAATAGTTAGAATAAATGCAGTTTTGGTTTAATACTTACCAACAACACAACATGTTTCTACTCTATATTTATCAATGGAGACAGCTTTTTGCGCTAATTTTGCTAATTCCATACGCTTCTCTTTCAAATACAACAAGTGAGAGTAAACATCCCAATTGTCAAGCCGGTATGGATCATTCTGATAAAGTTCACCAAATAATGCCAACGCTGAATCCACATCTAGAAAAAAAAATACAAGAAATTAGATTTTCACTTATGTTAATTTTCACAAAGAAATTTAACTATTTTAGATGGTAAGCAGAAACATATACCACTATTTTCGACAAAGTAACATTACATACATTCCTAAGAACAAGTTCTTCAACTTTCAATTTAACAAAAACACCAGTTACCAAGAAATCGATTTTTAAATTTCAATGACAGTTACCTCTTCTATCATGATGAGCAATTGCCATTTGTGCTGTCACATATGTGCTTTTGTTAAAACCAGCATTTGCTAAACCAATATATGCTTCTAAAGCCTGTTCTGATAATTTTAACTCAACAAATGCATGAGCTGCAAAAAAATACATCATCCAATGTTTCGGCAGCTGTAAGGAATCCAATGCTTCATACTCATTTGCTAAACCAGCAAGTTCCACCCATGCAGCCCAAAGTGTTGGTACCGCAGCCACTGCAGATTGTAGAACTGAGACTGCTTGACTTCTCAGATCTAATTTCTTTAAAATAACTCCTTCTAAATACAGCAGGTAACCATCTAAATTATTATGATTTGCCTAAAAGATAACAGAAAATATAAACATTGTATATTATCAACAAATCAATTAATATGTATTTCCTGGCGTTACCTTAAAAAATGATAGTAAATCTAACAACACTTGTGTTGACTCTGAATTGTCTGGACCTATATCAGTAGAGTTATCTAGTCTTTTCTTCTCACTGGACATATATTGTGAGTATCTGAATAAAAATACACATTTAGGACTGTTACAATTTTCCAAAAAGTGCGCACTTCTATCATACTCCTGGCAATCGAAATAGCTTTTTGCTAACAAATATGTCTCACGCTCATCTGGGAGTATACCATCATCGTAAATTGATTGTATATTATTTATTTTGTGATCCTTTAGCGCGTAATTTAATTCTGACAACCATTTAACAGTTTGCGTTAGCCCACGGTCGCTACATTCACGTATACCGTGAATAATATCTATTCTAACTTGATTCAGATCTATTTGAATATCATCCTTTGAATTTATGAAAGGCTGCTGCATTTTGAATTTGTATTATAATGTAAGAGATTGATATATGAGAAACACTTCTAGTTGCTTCATATACTCCCCAAGATCTCGGCTTTACAACTATTTAACAATTAATATGTTATACGATCTCATCAATTGGTCTTTCTTATTTTTTGTGTAATTTTTAAAATATAACTGAACTGACATTGACAAATGATCTGTCACCAACATCCATCAGCCTTTACATTTAGTTTATTGGTCAACTGCTTGAGTTGGAGACATGGTATTTTGCCCGTTGTCTTTTTTTCCTTTAGAATGAAAAAAATAAGTTTACGAAAATTAAACTATTCTGCACAATAAATTGATATTGGTGTTTAAGTAAATTTACCTTTTATTTATTTTGCAAGACCTCTACTTGTTATCCAAAGCTAAAGTTGCTAAATAAGTCAATGAAGATACTGTAGATATTGGGAAAAGAATCGGGGATTTAGGGGAAGACGAAATAAAAACTAAACATCGCATTATTATCAACTTTTTTATTTACATTCTAAAAAATTTTTAGACAAATCACCACCCTTTTGCTTCTTATTGGCTATTCTTGATCCAAATTGTAGAGCTCTTTTGGGATATGTAACAACATTTGTCAAACCTAGACTGAGTGCCACAAGCCTTAACATAAGCTTATCTCCCACTCCACAATCTAGTGCTTCATTTGGGAAACACCTGAAAAAAAAATTATGTTTAAAGTAAAATGTGTATGATTGTTTGTCAAATGTCAGATATTGGATGAATAGAAACAAACCTCAACCATGGCTTCAAACTTAATATATAATTAACAAAATCTTCATCTAAATAAGGCATTCTTGGTTGCCTGCCATGATCACATATAACTCTATTGTCACGTGAGAGGTTTCTGAACGAAATTCTATTCCAGTCCAGTTGTAATTCCTTGGCCAAGCCTAGCCAACCTTGTCTTTGAAATGCTTTCCTATGCCGTAGATATCCTCCAAATAACTCATCTGCACCGGATCCAAGTAAAAGAACCTAAATAAAAAAACAACATCATAATATAAAAAAATGGAGAAGACATTAATTTTATCAAATACATGGTGACTTTTAAAGAAGCCTACCCTGCAGGATGAAGTACAACCATATCCACTTGCAGCAAACCATAAAGCTGATCCTAGACTTTCATCTAGAATAGTATTTCTTGGAAAAACTAAGTCGGCTATAGTAGATTTTTGTTTATCCTCCAACACATCTTTTGGTACATTCACTTCTTTAAAAATCCATTTCCTGTAAAGTAATGGTTTGTTAGTAAAGTACAATCCACCATTAATATCTTACTTCTTACTAATATTATAAATGCAAATGTTTGGATGAATGGATGGATTTTTATTTGAAGGTATCGCTAATTTATAATATTTTTCATAAACATGTTTACTTTGATTACCTTGATTGACATACTCTTTTTAGTTCTTCATATGATTGTCTACCAGTAATCCTGTCTGGTACATCATAAGAGGAATTTTCGTTTATACCAAATGCAACATTTATAAGATCAATTGGTTGATCTTTATCAATAAATTTATCAGCTAATAAAGCCAAAATAGTACAATCTAGTCCCCCCGAACATAAAATACCAACGGTACAATGATTACATTTTGATATTTCACATTTTATACAATTCTTGCATTTATTTGGTTGTGTTTTCAGACGAATTTTAATACTTTTCTCCAATAAGTCAGTAATTCTGAGAATAACATTATTGATACTTTCTATATTGTTTAAATTACTCATTAATGTAATTTTATCATAATTTTTTCTCACTTCAGACTCTATTGTTTGAATAATACCTTCCTAAAATAAACATTTAAAAAAATATCAATAAATTAAGGAATGTGATTAATTTTTGTGCTTATGTATACCTCATCATTGAGGTCCAGATTTGAATCAAAATCAAAGGTAAATTTGTCATCAGGCAAATTCTGTTGTCCTTGTATTTCATCTAACCAGTCCTCTAAAGCACATTGCCTTTCCCATTTCTCATTTTGCCATGAATACAGGGTGATTTCAAAAGTATTTAAATTTAATTTTTGAATATTCCCAGCAGGTATTTCTGTACAATTATAGTTTCTTCCTGAAAATAATATAAACTTATTTTCATAGCTTATTTATTAATTTTATATAAAGTATTACATTGAATTTACTAACAGCTATTACCCATTACACTGCCAATAACCAATGAATTGTTCTTTTTACAGACTAACAAGGAGCATCTGCCAATTCTGTCTCTGGTAAAATATAAATTATTGCCTAATTTATCATAATAAATTAAACTAAATGGACCCTTTAATAATTTAAGTTGCATTATAATATGTTCTTCTGAATAATCTACCTGGAAGTAATAAATTAATATTTTAAAGTGAAATTACTCCATGAATCTTTAATCTAATTTATTTAGCTAGTTACTTACAGCATTGCTAAGTTTGTCCATAATTATTTCTGTGTCATTTAATCCACTGTTCCAACTCTCATCAAATATATCTCCATTAAAAAGTAAAATTCCATTACTATTCTCTAGAGGTTGTTTAACTGGGATTGTTCCTTGCATCCACAAAACTGCACCACAGAAAAATAGCTCCAGTTTACTGTCTGAAATCTCAGATGTATGATAACAATCTGGACCTCTGTTTTTAATGCGTTGTAGTATTTGCGTATCCTTTAATGGAAAAATGCAATTATTTATAATACATTCAGTATTGTTTGCGTAAAATGTATGGCACATTATCCCATTTCTAAAGTGTATTAAAACAATATACTTACGATAATTGAATTACATCCCGAGTTTCTTATTTCGCATATAATGCCACACATATTGTAAGACAATTTCCTTTACAACTGAATCTCTAGAAAAGTAAATAATAATATCACAAAAATATTTGTTTAGGTTACAAATATAGTCAGTAAGTAATTTTATAGATAATTCAGCAACCGTAAAAATCAGTCCCTAAGAACTATTAAAAAGTAATTGTTTGTTAAGCTTCTGATAGTATATTAATTTGTTAAGAAATTAATTCAAGAAAAAATATAACACCTCTGCTGGATGCTGAATATTATTTTGATTTTGACATGACATGTGACAGACTGACATTATTTTATGGTTTTTTTTAAAACAGAAGGGGGCAAACGAGCAGCGGGAACACCGAGACAAATCAATTTTAGTTAATTAATATTCTGTACTAAATAAATATTGGTTTACGTTTGTTGACGGCTGACATTTGGATGACATTGATATTCCGATCCAGTCTGTCAATGTCAAATTTGATGTGGCTATTTGTTTGTAAGTTAACAATTTTTATTTTATATCCTCGTAAATAATTGTTATTTCATACAAGATAACTATGTTAACCACTGAGAAAAGTAGTGAAAAAAATGAGGAACCACCGGAAGAGCCATCTCTTGAGACATCCGAAGAAAGTGAAAAACTTGCCGTGTCTGAATATATATCTAGCTTGGAAGCCAGAATAAAATGTAAAGGCGATATGAGGAATCAAAATCTTAATTGCGTTCGGCCTCCAGAAAATCATTTTTCGAAATTGGATTCTGGATTAAAGAAGAACACGACATTTGTAAAGAAGTTAAAATCTTTCAGTGCATCTCAGATTGATGTCCTTCTTAAGGACTTTAGCGTTTTAAATTTAACAAAATACATATCCGAGGTTGCTGCAGCTATTACTGAAGCTAAATTGAAGATGTCTGATATAGCTGCTGCTATAAATTTATGCTCAGCTCTTCACCGAACATATGCTGATTTTTCATCAAATCTCTTTGAGAATTGGCAGAAAATCTTGACATTCAAAATAACTGACAAAATAGCAAACTCTTCGAAATTAAGAGTTGATTTAAGATTTTATGCAGAGTTGGTTGCTGTAGGAATTTTCACAAATAAAACTGGTCTACCTTTACTGGGTAATGTGCTGACAGTCCTCATCAACATGGATAAAGAAGATCACAACAATATTTCTATTCTCTTGTCCTTTTGTAAGCACTGTGGTGAAGATTATGCAGGCCTTGTTCCTAAGAAAATTAAAGATTATGCTGAGGTATGTTTAATTTTTGACAATCCATAAAATATTTTGCTTCTAGGTTTTGTGAAATGTTACATAATATTTTATTTATTGAAATAATGTATCAAATAACATAATCTTATAAGATATAAGACATAAAATAACACTAAAATTGATTGATGAAATTATTTATTTATTTGTGTCTTATTTTAGAAATATGGTATAACAATCCCAAGGAACACATTTCTACCAGCAGAGAAGCAAGCAGTAGTAAGGACACTACTAAAGGATTATTTTGCATCTCTAACCAAACATCTATTGGCTGTGAGAGCACAATTACAAGCCTTACATGCAGCAAACCAAAGAACTTTGCATACCAGAGGTGAACTGTCACAGGAAAGAAAAGATCAGTTAGAACAGCACCAGGTAAAGATAAATTACCATGTGACCAGAGTTACATTTTTTAAGGGATCTAATTTTTTTTACTAAAGTTATGTTTTTCAGGCAACATATGACAAATTATTAGCAGGTGCACAGAGTTTTGCGGAAGTACTTGGTGAAGATTTGGGCGAAGCTGGGGAGCCACCAACTTTATCTCTAACTGTTATTGAAACCCAAGGGTCAGTAACTATTGGTGGAAATGATGAAATTGCTATGCAAGCTGGAACTGATCCATGGCAAGATGAGGATACAAGGACTTTTTATACCAATATACCAGATATGAAATTTTTTATGCCTACTCATCAATTAAAGGAGGTATTTAGCTTTGGTTTAGTCTGTTTTGACACTTAAAAATATGGTCAACGCTTGCAATTATATTTGCATGCGGTGTTTTAAAAAGAAAAATTGAAAAAAGTATGCAATTTAACAAATTTTTTAAAGTGTTCTAGAGAATTTATGTTTAAGTTGATTGGTTTAATTCATCTCAAGAACCAATTGTTACCTTTTATATTCTGAAAACTTTTTTCAGACAGTAAAGAATAAAGCAGAAACGGTGACTGAAGAGATGCTGGATGAGGATATAAAGGAAGATGAGTTGAGTGACAATGATGAACCGCCACCAGCTGTACCAGAAGTTGAACAAGAGGAAGCTCAGCCAGCTAATGTTTCCAACAAG